CGGATCCGAAACCTCCCACGATTCTCAAAGGAAAACAGTTATGGCGACGCAGCAAGGATACAAAATTTCAACCTTTCTATGCAAATACGTATTTGCCGCCACGGTCCGATTTTAACACCGTTTTCTCCTTCCTCCCTTCTTAATAAAACGTCGAATCCCGCGCGGGTTCCTCGTGTGTCAGCCACGCGCACCGCTATAGCGGTCAGACCCCCATAATGGATGCACGAGGCACGGCTCGTTTCCTTTTCTTTTCGCATATTTTTTTTTTCACTCCTTCCACAGGCCCCTCTCTCCCGTGCCCTTTGCGTGCTCGCCATTATGGGCACCCGGAATCCACCGACACGATGGAATATAAGGCAAAAGGGTGATGCCGAACGCGAATCGCAGAAACGTGGGAACCGTCGCCAGGTGATCCCTCACCGTAAGCTCGTAAGCGTCGTATAGGCACGAACTTTTGCGAGCCAAGGCGAAAGACGGCTATTCCGGAAAGGGGTACGCGAGAATGGGAGGCCCTCTTCGAGTCCTCGATGCTTACGCAAGGGGGTAAGATGGGGATACAGCCTACATCGAATGCGCGATATCGTTGTATGAGAAGCTGTTGCAATTTTATAAAATATTAAAGCTGATTATATTTAAACTATTGTAATAAAATAAAGTTAATTTGTTAATTTATAAAAATTTATAAAATGTATAAATTATTAATATAATGTAAATTTAAATAATGTCTTTCGATAGAAATTAAGATTAAAAAAATGAAATATAAAAGCTATTTTTTAATTACTTTTTTAATAATTTTAGAAATTAATAATATATATGTATTTTTTACTTTGAAAAATAATCACGTAGATATTATTCGGAGTAAATTGGATTGGAACGTTACCTAAAGGAGTCTTCTATTATAAAATATATTTTTCTTTACGTCCAGCATACGACCTGATTCCCAGCGATGGAACCTACTGACCCAATTCATCTCAATGAGATACTTTCGTTTTATGATCGGGATTTTCAGAGAACTATTGTGCTAAAGATGTTCGTGTTACCTTCGACGACATTGTTGTGCTATATAAAGTTTCAATGTTCCAGTTTTGTTCAAGTTTTCCATTTTCATTCCTACAATCAATTACAGTTACTAATAATAAAGTCTCATTTATTTATTATTAGAATAATAATGTTAAGTGGCAAAAAACTGAAATTTTTTAAAAACTAATATTTTATTCCCAATTACTTTCATTTATAACAATGTGACACTGCCGTGTTACAAAATTTTAATAAGATAAAAATTTATTGCGGAAGTATTTTGTCCAAATGTCACCTTTTTGAAAAAAAAAAAAAACAAAAAAAAACAAATGGTAGAATTATAAATGATGTCGCTTACGCGAGACACGTTTTTTCATCGAACTCCCACGGAAACGAGTTATATTTTCCTGTATTTTACAACTGTTTCCCGAGAACGATAATCCAGATGTCGTCCCATCAACCCCACGCGTACATTTTTTGAGCCGGTTTGCATGCTAATAATAGGGTTGGCTATATATATACGTATTATATTAATGCTCACGGATTTTAGTTCCCCTATATTTTGAAAGAATCTATAATATATTTTTCGCTTTACTTTTTCGATAAATATATTTCACATTAAATATAATTGATGGGAAAATTAAATACAAATTTTTAAATTAAGAGGAAGATTCTATAAATTAGGAAAATCAACTTCGAAAAGTTCGAGCGGAAATGAAGATCGGGATTTAAGGGTAACATTTCCTTCCTGTGAGATATTACGGCTGCGTGGGTGCAAGCTGCAGGTGCATCCAAGATCGAACCTCAAAAGCAGCAGGATGGGCGTTTCAAATTTAAACCATGGCGCACCTTCTTGATCCTTCTCGAGAAGTTTGTGGTCAAGCCAAGTACTCCGAGCACAACCTCTCGGGGTTAATGAGAAGGTCGCGACATTTGACCGAGCGCCTTCCGTTATGACAGCTAGGCTGGAATATTTATGGGAAATTATGGATCATGGGAAAGAGAGAAAGGATCTTTCGTGCAAACAAATATAGTAAAGCGTTTACGCAAAATCTGCTTATCCGATACTTGTGACTGCACATATAATTGTTTCGTAGCGGACACAAATAAAATTATATTTCCGGAATTATAAATTATTATTTTATATTTTTTTCAATTATCTTTGGATTCTCTCGATCCATCTTTATAATATTGTATTTAATAAAATGATCAAAAATATAAATAAATAAAATATAAGTAAAAATGTGAATAATAAATTTTTGTAAATTGATCATTGTATAATTACAGTGCAAGACATGCAATTGTTGCATGTAATATGAAGCCATACAAATGACTATGGAAAATCAGAATTGAAGGATTTAAGGTCAGCGATTCTTTTTGTCAAATTGTTTGTACTTTGAAAAGATTAACATAGATTGAAAGGTGTGCAAATGCAAATTTAAGAGTAAAAACGGTTCAAAACTCTTCGTGTATTCGACTTTCGATTCTCTTATAATTCGCATCTGTCAGACTCAAGGATAAAGTCGCTGTTAGTTCGAATCAAAATATGTCATGCTGATGGCTTTACAAATAAAGCCATAAAACACATTATTGCAGAGGACTTATTCTTTTTTTCGCTATATGACGGAAATTTGACCTCGAATTAAACGAAATAATTTTTGTTATTATAGAGTTAACAATAACATAATAGTAATATTTTACATAATAATAATAATAATAATGTATTATATTATTAGGCATTAATATTATTTCTTAATTTCTTAAAACATTCATATATGAATTAATAATACTTAATTATTTATAAGATTAATATTATTCTTATATAAAATTAAATATAAAACTCATCATTGAAACTATTTACGAATTCGAGCGAAGCAAGGTATTATTTTGATATTCCTTGCATGACTTTCGAATGAAAGCTGTTTGGTAATCGATTGTTATCAAAAATTATTGCACTTATGTTAAATCAAATACGAAGGGCTTTCATTTGTCGTATAAACTGAATTGTTTATCGAACATCTAGGCAGAGAAAAAAAGACCACTTAAAGCGGAAATAATCATGAACAAAATCTCGTCTATAGACCGGTCACGTTTATCGAATTATCTCGTGAGGTTTTGTAAGGATTTTTAAACGTTTAATAGTTCAACTTCGTTAAAGAGCTCTTGCATTTGTTAAACACACCTGGTCGTATAGACGAATGATTCATTGTAGTTAGATTGCATCTTTGCAATTACATCGTTAACTATTAGAATGATTCTTTTATTTATGATATTTGTGCATATATGATTAATTTTTTTTTATTAATTTATAAATTTTTATAATTTATAAATTTTTCGTAAACGTATGCTTTATTTTGCAGCAAATTTTGCTTTTATATGGAAAAGAAAGTATATTTGAAATTAATTTATGTATAATTTCAATGATGATGTAGATTCCTCTAAAATGAATATTTAAATTATAACAAAATGTTAATGATGGATTAACAAAATCAACTTTATTTCCATGTTGAATAATGAATGCACTGTGAAACATTTTGAAAATTCATGGAGCAGTATATATACGTACAACCGAAACGTGGTGAAATAAATCATCTCCAAGGATCTTCCCGTAGTTTAAATGCCGAAAATTCGGAATGACCTGAGAGAGGTACCGAACGCAAAAGTTTTACAATGCAATAATTGTGAGCCATAAAAATTTATTGCGGTAGTCATTACTTCTTTAAATGAGCTGTAACGAATTTTGTTAACAAAGAAGAACTAGTTTGCAGACCTTTTAACGCATACATATATCCATGTATTCTTTTAAAAATATGTCTTTATAAAAATATATCGTTTTCCATATTTTTATATCTTTACAATAGTCTCGATTTCTGATAAGATTGACGTGCATTAATTGCTAAAATTATTAAATAGTTGAAAAATAATTTTATTATTTTTAATAAGATTTAATTTGAATAAGATAGAAATTACATAAAACTTTTCGTCATATAAAATGTGCAAAAATATAGATATATGCGTATGCACTATTGCATATGCCTCTCTCTCATTTTATGCTTTTACATTTTACAAATAGCAACTAATGTCAATAGTCAGAACATGTCACCTACGTTAACAGTAGCAACTTTGTACAGGTAAATAACAGGGTATTTTAAAACAATTCCCACGTGAAGGATCCACCGTTCTCATATGCATCAGATCGCGTTGCGCGCGCCAGTCACACTTATGACGCGCGCATACGCACGCACATACACACGTCGGCATGCAATGTTTGCCCTTCTCTGTCAGATGATACTCTATTGCATGCCTTTGTGCTTTACCGCTCCTATAGTCGATACATGTTATGCTCGATCCCTCCTCATCGAGGTCGTGGCGTCCGTACCCAGACAACGACAATTGATTGAATCACTTCTAATATTTCATTCAGCATTATACTTTTATGCTATAATTAAGATATAAAATTGTCTATAATATATATATATATATATATATATATATATATATATATCTTTGCATCTGTTTAAAAAATGTAATAAAAGTAAGAAATGTAACGCATATCTTACGCATCATTTTTTTTATTTTAAGAAAGAGAACTGTATTAGTAATACAAGTAGTATTATTTAAATTATATGATATACGAGGAACAAATTGTTATTCATTTATGAAAGATAACAATTACATTAATTATAATATCAATGAAAAATAATTTAAACGCATCGTTTGTTTCATATTACGGATAGCCCAAATTGCTTTCGATATTATCTTGACAGGATGCAGCCTAAATTTAAGTGACTACGTTGCACGAGGTATAGCCTGCAGACGGCGTGAATTCCCACACATCAACAGGTCTCAGGAGGGCCGAGGACCTCCCCACCTTTAGGGTACCCAAGACCCCACTCCGGGGCGTATTTTTCCCCACTCCATGAGTACATCGGCATGCGGTCTTCGAAATCGAAAATGTCAAACAGTTACCCTCAACACCCCAAGCGGGACGTCCATCAGTAACGATGGACTTCCCCAACTTGGTGTAAAATTTTCGTTCAAATGTTCGAACAGGGCACGTTATCGAGCCTAAATTTCAGTGTTTTTCAGTGTGATTGTTCAACTTTGATGCTTTGTGCGTTCCAATTTAATCAATCAAGATAATTATCAAGATTAGCAATTAACCACGGATAAAGTGTGTTTGCGCCCGAGCGAAAGTCATGATAGTCAGAAGGCTTGCTTAAGTAGTGGATTACTGCAACTACAAAATGTTGAACAGCGAGGAAGAATTCGAGTCCCAAACGCAATCGGCAATGTCGAAAGCGGAATTAAGAAGGGTAATTAATGCTTTATGATCAGATGACATTGATAGTTCCATTGATGCATAAAAAATTAATCATGTCGAGAAAAGAGAATTAAAATTGATATATCGATATGTTTTTATTTTTGAAATTATTATAGTACAATAATTAGAGCAATCATCAATTAATATTTTGAAAAAATTTAATTAAATTATTTCAGAGCAACAAACCAATTATGGAAAAACGACGGCGCGCTCGAATTAATCAATATCTCGATGAACTGAAGAATTTTATACTCGTTAACGAAAAAGACGTAAGTTACATAATTTTGATAATCTTACGTAATAAGATTAAAAGCTTTTATGTATTGGCAGCTTAAGACGTAGAAAGCAAAATATAATCGAAGGAAAGAGCTAATTAACTAGAATTATTCCTCTCGCAACACTAGATATTAACATTCTTGTAATTTTTAATCTTTTAAGCGTATTTAAATCATTCAACCGACCAGTAAGATCCGCGATAAACAACTACATCAGCAGAATGCTCAAATGATAACACAAGATTGCATACCAGTCAGTGTACGAATGATTTTTATTTGCTCTTGTGAGAATCACATTACTAGCGCCGTATTAAAACATGTCGTAAAAAAACGTGACTTCTACATTGTTTATCTAGAGACGTGATCCGTTTTACGAGAGATAACACGAAAAATGTGCTACTTTGATTGCGCTTGAAGGACGCTCAGACGTTTTCTCAACATTTAGAATATGTATTTCATTATTTTTTAATTATCTTGATTATCTTTCCCAATTTATCTGGTCACATGGTCAAATTAATTTCTCAAAATTTCTTATTCGAGTTAGAAAAAAATTAGTTTTTTTATTATCAAATACCATACAATAAAATTAAAATGCTTGAAACTATATCAAAATCAAAATTAAATTATGCATTATTTTAAAAATGTAATTTTTCTTATGGAAATATATGGAGCTCAGTGATACATATGCAGAACTAACTGACTTTATTATGTGTTTGGTAACGGAAGTTGTCATAACGGATGTATATTGGATGTATTTGATCAGGTTGTCCACTATGGACCCCTTTTTTTTCCTCGGCATCCTCTGCGACAGGATCTGTTTTAGACTGAAGCATTGGACGTAACGAGATATATATGTGTGTAGGAGGGAAGGGAGGCAGGAGGGATAGGTTTTGTTTTAGTATTTTAGAGATGCCTCCGCGTGGGAACGGATGGGACCGGATCCCTATACCAGCGTATATAATCTGCTCTACAGATTTTACAATGGCACTCGAACCGGTTAAAAGAAGCGGCGAAGAAACATTTAAAAGAACTTCCAATTACCGCGCCCACTTAAAATTAATTTATTGAGTTATGACTTCCGGAATCCCATTTGTCATTTTTCAAAATTGTTGAATATGAGCCAATAGCGATTTTATATTTCGAAAGTAATGTCTGATATTTTCAAATATGATAATGAAAATTATTATATATGATATGTATAAAAATTATTGATATATATAAAAATTTTAAATGAAGCAAAAATCATAAAGAAAATTGCATAAATTGGATATCGATTAAATAATTAAGATTCGTTACGCTTCTTTTACGGATCGAGAATTCTGCGCTACGTAAAATAATATAGTGAGATTGATTTCTCAAACCGGTATATAACAAGCCAAGACTCTCACCATTCTCTCTCTTTACTCTCGTCCAGATGACTTCCGCTACCTGCTCGCTCCGATGTGTCCGTCCCGTTTGTCCGTACGAAATACGCCCCCCGCACGTTCGTGGGAACCTCGAAATAATTATTACGAAGAAAAAAAATCTCATCTCAGGTTGCTGCCTCTCTCTTTGTTGATCGTATCATCTTTAAGGATCCAGCTCAGATCCGCGACGACGGTGCGGATCGACGAAAAAGGAGGAGATACGCAACGCCTCTGATTTTTTTTCTTAGTCCTTTAACAGGTGCCACTCCTCCGCTTTTGAGCTCGGGTGTCAAATTTACTCATGGAAAAATCGATATCTCCGATATTTTTCTCATGTCATATAGTATAATATTATCTTCGTGTTATTTTGCAAATAATTTATCATCGATTTGTATAACTGAGATCGCATATGTTTCGTTTTATTACATTCCTAAAATTAAATTGCTGGCGTTATAAAGTTATAAAAGTTTTTTACGATCTATAATATAAATGATTTTGTGCTGACTCCCACGCTCTTATTCTTCAATGATCGCAAATTTACCATAAAAATGGGAACATCAGGATGATCCGAGGATAAGGTTCGAAGAATAGAATACAATGGACCCTTGAAAAAGGACAACTACTATACTCGAGTTATTGGTGTGGCTAAAGGGCTGGGAATTTCGACAGTATAAGTTCGATTTGGGAAAGGTCACGTCCATCGGTATATCCAAAAGCCCGCTTTGTGATGTGTTTCCGAATATCGAATCGTTTCTCACGATTAGATTAAATGCTCATATACAATCTGCAAATTATTTAAGAGTAACATTAAAAAAATATTAAATTATTTTGTGCAAAATTTTTTTATGGATTAGCAATAGATTGCAAGAAGTAAATATCCCTAAGCAATTCATGTGACTTGAATGAAACAAGCTAATGATTTATTGCATGTGGTTTAATGACAAATCTAGGTGAATGTGCGAGCTGTTCGCCTTTAGGCTGACTATAAAATAGGCCGCATTAGCTACCATACTTGCTAGTCTGTTATTACGATAGCAATTCATATCAAGTCAATTACGTAGGCGTGTCGCGTCATCGTAGATTTCTTCAATAGAGGATCAATAACCCTTGTCTGACAAGTAGTCGAGTCCCGCGGGTGATGATAGTTACTATGGTTCGAATAAGAAGAAATTCTATTCTGGCTTTCTCTTACCATATTGCCTTTTACCTGTATTTCCATTCACTTCCGTAGATAACGCAGAGCTCCTCTCTGTACCGATGTATGTTATGCTTTCCAACTTTTCGAACGGGAAACTATTATTTCGTTCCAACTATCCGATCAATAAAATAGTAATGCAATTTTCTTTTACATTATCAATTATTTATACCGACATTTTTATTTTTTTCTTGTTACAGCCAACTAGGCATTCGAAGCTCGAGAAGGCCGATATCCTCGAAATGACGGTAAAGCATATACAAACGATGCAACGGCAGCATTTGAGCACAGCCATCTCCAACGATCCGGTGGTGTTAACGAAATTCCGTTCCGGATTTTCTGAATGTGCCACCGAAGTATCGCGATACGTCAGCCGTCTCGAGAACGTCGATCCCGCCGTAAAGCAACGATTGCTATCGCACTTGAACAGCTGCGTGGGCCATCTCCAGCAAATGGCTCCGTTCTACAGTCACTACGTACCCTACATACCAGAGCGTCTCTACCCAGAGGTAAAGGTCGGCTTCCAGAGCGATTTCCAGAATGGGGATGAGAATAACAACGGTAGCGCAAGAATACAGATACCGAACGGAGTGCAATTGATCCCGAGTCGACTGCCGAACGGCGAATTAGCATTCTTAGTGCCGCAATCCGCCGGCATATCTGCCAATTTCTCTTTCTTCCCATCAGTTGCGGATTCATCTACGAAAACCGGTCAATCCTCGGCTTTCACCGCGGTTCACAGATCGCACAGTCCATTGCTGAGCCCGTCGACCTCTACTTCCAGCTACGGCGACGAGAGTCATCATTCGGAACATCCACAGGCGTCATCGCCTACTCATCCTCAGCCGCAACGTCGATTCAAGTTACCGGAGCAGAGTCCTGCGTCCTCTTCAAAGAGCTTCTCGTCCTCCCCGGAGACCCAAAAACCGCAAATTAGCTCAACTAGCGACCGAAAATCACCGACGACAACATTCCTGGAACCTAAAGTCGTGGACGATAAGATCGCAACGAAAAAAGATGTAACGGAAGATTCGGAGAGCGTCAATCATAATGTAAACAGCTTCGTAGCACAGAGTTTGCGACAACCTCTTTCTGTAATTACAGACAAAACTTACAATCGCCCTTCGAATGGTTCGCTGTTCAAGAAAGATAGTCTCAAGAGACGTCATTCCGACGGGCTTTTAGCGATCTCGGATAAGAGACCGAGATATCAGGAACCCACTAGTTCGATCTCCTCGATGAATAATGCCGACGCACATAAGAGCACAAATGAGCAGACCGCTGCGATTTCGACCGGAGACTTGCCGCGAAATCAGAATTGCCAGGCTCCACGAAATTCTAATTCAAATTCCGATAAATTCGTAATGAATCCGGCAGATCCGTTCAATGCTAATGGCGATATGTGGAGACCTTGGTGATTATTATTGCCGAAAATGAAAGAATAGATGTATTTTAAAATTAAACCAGAATAAAATTTAAAAATATCCTAGTACAAAGAATCAAATTAGGTAAATTTTTTATCTTAACTTTTACTTTTTGCAAGTTTTGAAACATAATTGATAGTAGCATATCATGGATTGTATCATTTTACACATTTTGTCATTTGCTAACAATTTACATAAATCACGAATAATTAGTGGCAGGATTTTTGCGTGATACTGTATTACATATTTATTATTAAACCTATATTTTATAAATATTGCGTTACAGATTAGTAATTTAATTATGTTAAGAATTAGTTCAAAGATCAATAAGGTCATTACCGAACACAATAACGGTTTTGTGCCAAAGCGTGAAACTAATTACAATATTTTTGCAACAAGATTATTAATGCATTCTTTGATGCATTGGTACGTTGTATCCTCGCCATTTCATAAAGACTCATAAGCTTTAAATAGGTTAAACAAGACTTCTTATTAAGTTGGTCACAACGCGTAATATGTGAATAGAGCCCTGTAAATATATATATCTATTTTTATTTAATTAATTAAACTCTGTATTTTGATTATAAATTATATTTTTACCATAAAAATTAAACAAGATGTTATATAAGTGATTATTTTTTAATCTACAATTCAACAGTGGTCAGTATTGTCAATTAACACGTTCACTGCCACGCGGATTTTGATTAAATCTGTAAAAAAATAAACTAAAATTACGTGTATTTGTTGTTATTAAAATGTGGAATTACTGTAACTTTGAACAAACACATATTTGTCATCGAATCAATTATCAATCCATGATGTATAACTTTCTAAACATCGTTAGTTTTATTCGTATATTATTGCATTTTATTCTTATATTAATGCGATGCGTCAGCATAGTGGGAACATCGATGACCGTCATGGCATTCAACGTGTTAAAATATGTATATTACGAGTTTGTGATAGAAAATATAACATTGAAATATACAATCTTTGCGAAAGATAGATACGGTGTTTGTTACTTATTTTTGATTGATTTTATATGTATAGCCATTGATAAAATAAAAAATAAATTTGCGGAATGCAACCCAATCTCGCGAGTGTTACAATTCTATCTCACAAAAAGCTGACTCTCACATATATTCTACCAATATATTCCACTACCTCGTAAAAGCACGGAAATTTTCCTCGCTGAGAGAGCCATCGGAGGCGCTTTACCCTTTTAAGGAGCGTTAAACGCGCTCCGATTCATAAACTGGAACTTATTCTTTCCTTTTTTGCCGATAAAGGAGCAAAAAGCTGTGGAGAATGAGAATTTCAACCACCTGTTACACCGCAAAACCACCCGCGTTTTCATCGACTGAATGCTTAAACTGATTTATCGACAGAAATCGCAGAACTTTGTTAAGTTCTCTTAGTCTTATTCTCGGGACGCATGCTTGCGTTTTTAATTAAAAATATTAGTTTCTGATGTGCATGCAGGTAATTAAATGCTCTAGTCTCAATTACATAATAACAATGTATGCGTAACAAAAATATGCAAAAAATTTTTGCGGAATATTTAACAAATTATTGTGAATTTAACATTTGTTTTATCTGGCCGACTTAAATAATCATAAATATGTAGTTGTTGTTGTAACGTAGCATTATTTATAGCCAGTTTTAACATATTGAAATCCTATACAAGTTCTAGCACTGACAGTGAGATGGCAGCATTGTATGTTTGAGATTACAATTTTTTTATTCACGAATGCAATTGTCGAAAAATATTTACATAAAATTATGACACGAATATTATTTACATCACAAAAATATATCTGGTGTAATTTGAAACAAAAACTACTTTTTGAAACGAAATAAAACTGTATCAAAATACAATCAAATAAAGTCTTAATATATGAAAAAGATTTTAATTATTAAAATATATACTATTGTATTAATATGCGCATTTCTTTGAAATCGATTTTATACATTATCGTAAAAGTGGTACTTAAAATTACAAGCAAAAACTCATAGATATTTCGTCTCCTATTCATCAATGGAATAAAGGCACATACTATTTTTGTCGAAAATTATGTTGTTAGGGAAAACACAATTAAGTCAAAATGAAGCGTAGATACATTGCGCTCGCGGTTTCTTTCTTCGATCCTTGACGGTGCCGTTCTACTGGCGCGAGGCATCGAAGTCGCCGATTCGTCCGCTCAAATTCGGGTTTAATATCACGTTCTATTCGCTCCTTTTTGATATTCATGTGCACAATGGGCCTCGACGCCGGTATACGTAAAGCCCGGCTGTGTATGAGTAACTCCTATATACGCTATATCACAAGTATAAATAATTACTGCGGTGTACAGCAATTACTATAAGTTATGGCGCAGCCGTTACAATTTGCAATGTCAAGACATAAACACTGCTACCGCTTACATTTGAATACATTAAGGCGATGGGAACCTCTGATTGGCCCGATGGGGAGTGGTGCAGTCACCGGTATCAGTATGTGAGCTACGATCTGCTTGACGATTTTTATTAAGGAAACGATCATCTCTCTCTCTCTCTCTCTCTTGCGGATCTTTTTCCGACAATCGTTGCCGCCGCTATTGCCCTACGTTGCAATCGCGCTGCCGTTTGATGGATCACCATTCGCATTCCGTTCGCGAGGACTCGCTAAAGTGGATTCGCGATTTTCCATTGATCTTGAGATATTTACGAGACGACACGATCGAGATAATCTTTTTCCTTCAATTGTTTCATAGCGATCCGTGAATCTTTTTTGCCGATCATAGATTACTCGATTCCATCTTCGCGTTTTCCTCAATTTGAATGTTGCGAGAATAAAAGAATGATCGCGCGTGTTCAATGATGAATAATGAATAGTCTTGTATCAAGATCGCATTTGGTCGAACGGCAGTTAAATTAAAAATAAAATAAAGTCTAATTAAAATAAAATAGCAAAGAAGCGTATGCTATTTTTGTCAGGGGAAATCGACAGTCTCGTTCTTCACGTATAAGAGACTTAATATTCAAAGTAAGATTTAATATTCCACTTGATATATGCACATGCTGCAAGAATATTGCGAAATTAGAGAGGATGCTATAATTTATCGTAGCTACAGAGAGAGAGCAGATGGCATGAATGTACGACATGTAGTGTTAAGAAACGAGTTAAATCACAGAGAGCAACCGCGAATCCGCGATAGCAATGAGAGACCTAGTCGCGCGATCACAGTTCTATTTTCCCCATTACTAGAATCAAGTTCGAATCGTTCGTTCCCAGACCAGCCAGCCGCGATCTTGTCGGCCGACTCATCGATCGGGCGAAAAAACGATCGTCGAAAGCCAACCGGGCTGTTTCCGTTGCGGTATGCGACCAGACGCGAGTGCCTCCGGGCGGCGGATATAGCAATCGCCGAGTGTTTTTCGCGTAGTTGTATTTCGATGGGCATCCGATCGCGAAAGAGAGAGGCACGGCGTCAGGTGCCGGCGCGCGAAGGGAGGCAGGAGGAGGAGGCAGGAGGAGGAGGAGGAGGAGGAGGAGGAGAAAGAGTAGGTTCCGTCCGCGCGTATGTGCGGCCGCCAGGCCATTTGCCTCTGCGGTCTCTTGATTCCTAGCGACTAAATTTTCATCTGTACTCATTCAAGTTTTAATGTGTTTTTGCGGCATCAGTCATTCAAACTTAATCAACAACCGGTTACACGTCGGCGCGCGAGCGCGACCACACAGGTTCGCGCGGCCGTAGTCGGTGTGCGCGTACACGGGGCGTCCGGGTGGTGCGGCCCCGTCTGTGTACGTGTGTGGGCGCGACAGAATATTGGTCGGGCGCACTGTGACGAGAGCGTATTAATTATAACTCTGGTCAGAGGAACGTCAAGAGATGCTTTCGCAGATACCTACGATAAATTGTCGGTTTACCAGCAAATCTCATTTCCAAACCCCGCCATTTTTCCGCTCGTTTATCCATGCCCAACGGGAGAGAGTACCGCGCCACGGCGCGCCTGGCCAACGTCGCGGTATTCCCTTCTTTTCGCGTTTATATACACGTGTGTATATATCCGGTCGCGGTGCGCGACTGTCGCATGCACAAGAGTGCGATGACAGCGGAAGGGAGAGCGTTTTTACCCAATAAAGTTGGTGAGCGTAATAGGAATGTCGGCATTAACGAGTTCATTCGGAGCTTATCGGCCATTGTCGGCCTGCGACGTGTCACGATAAGGATTTATTCATTTTCAAATCCATAGAATATCTTCCGCCTGTTTTTCATGCATTTATTCATCGCAATTATATGCAAAAGATATATTATATTCTTTCTCTATATATAATAATGTTTAATATCGAAATAAATTTATGAAATTAAATAATATATATTAGATGTATCACGGGCAAAAATTGATACGAAAATTGATCCTACAAATATATTTCGTCTTGGGAAGATTTCTTTCAAATTTTTCAAATAAAAGGAATTGATCAAGTTTAATTTTATAATATTTTAATTTTGAAATTTTAATATTGAAACAAAATTTTCTTATCGCGTTTTAGCTTACGTACTTAATTTATTGTACCGTATAATTATTGTGCCAGGAAGAAAAATAGAGGGCAAAATTAAATCGCGCATCTAATTGGCCAATTTCCAAACATTCTTTGCACAAGCCACGGTTACGAAGTTTTGCACGGTACACGATGCCGAATTAGCTGAGCGTAGCGGAGAAGTGTCGGTGCAAGTAGTCGGAGAGACATTTATTTGGCTGTCTCTGAAGCGGTCGGGAGTTCCGCCAGCATGGTATACTGAGCGAGCGAGTAGGAGATACTGTCCCTAGCGAGAAGCTGTATATATCCGATAGAGAAAGGACGCAGTGGAAGTAACAACCTTCAGGAGGGCAGGACAGAGAGATCGGGAGATCGCCCGCAAAAGAGAGAGAAAAAAATCCATAGGGCAGACACAGAGAAAGAAAAGAAGATAAAGAGACTCGTTTACCACAAAACTCGAAAGAGGAACGAGGATGGGGGAAAGGTGTTGAAGCGTGACCAAGAGGAAGAAGGAGGAAGGGAAAGGAAAACAGAGTGGGAATGTAAAGCGTGCGTACGTGGGCGCGCGTATGTATATGTGTGCGTCTGTGTGCGAGTCAACGTGGACGCTATGAATGAGAGAGAGAACGGCGTGTGCGGACGAAGGACAGGTGCGAGAGGTTCGGAGAGGCAGGAGAAGCGCGAGCATGTTTTATTAAGTGCGTCGCGCATGAAAAAAGCGCGAGGCAATTTTCAGGTGCTAAAGCGGCCGCTGATAACGCGAGACCGCGTTTGAAACAGTCCGTTACACTTTTCGAGTCATTATACTCGCCTGTGCGAGCGCGCCCTTAGCTCGTGGTTGATCGCGAACCACCTGGAGGAGCCGAAGATGGAAAATCGGCGTCCCTCGCGCACCGCTCTCTCTGATACTTGTTGCACATGTGAATTTCCATTGTATATATTTTACGATACATTTTGCAATAATATACGCTCACCGGACACAATATTACGTCAATAAATGAGGACCCGATATGTAAATAGAATTTATG